TATTTTCTTGGCTTAGTAATGATGGAGACTGGGTGCTGTAATAACCGGTGCTAAAAATGCGTGGGTCAAAACCATCAGCAGTTATCCTAACTCTTTTAACTATCCATGATGGGGGTGCCCAGTGGACAGGCAGCTTTTCTGCAGTTAGAGATCCAGGAGCCAGGCTCTGTCTATCTTGTGGCTCCACAGGACCCATCCTAATGTCTGCAAGTCTCTGGCAAGAATACAAGTGGAGACCTATACTGGGGTTGTCAGATTCAGTAAATAAAAATGAAGGATGACTAGTTAAATTTTAACTTTAAATAAACAATGAATATGTTTTTAGTATATTTATGTCCTGTGCAATATTTGAGACACACGCTTACACCAAGAAAATTTTCGTTGTTTATCCGGAATTCAAATTTAACTAAACATCCTATATCTATCTGCCAACCCTCCACATACCAAATATTTAAAAGTAAATTTGGAAATAAACTGTTAAAGAAAATATATTCTATTAACCTGCCTTGACAAATGTACTTTCATAATGACCGGAAGGCCAGGTCCCCATTTAGAATTCTCAGACTCAAATTTCCACACCACCTTCCTGCCTGCTCTCCTCCCTTTATCTCTAGCAATCTCTCTCCTCAAGGAGCCTCATGTGCACATGTGAGGATGCCCTAATTCAAACTCCATCCACATCCCCTGCAAACAGCCACCTCTTGGCCATCTTTGGGCCTAGGCCTTGGGCCAGTGGGTGGTCCCACCATAAGGAGCACAGCCTGAGGAAGAGGTTCATACAGGCCATGGCAGGGAACTTGGAGCATCACCCGGAGAGTGGTTTAGACTGGGGAATGTAGGCTCTAGGTGGGCACATCCCTTTGGCCTGTGTCTAAGTCTAAAATATTGGCTTTTACCGTCTTCCAGGGCCGGCCTGTGTCTAAGTCTAAAATATTGGCTTTTACCATCTTCCAGGGCCTTTCTGTCTTCTTAATCCCATCAGCATAAGGAGAGAGAGTGGAGAGGGGACACTCCCATTTTGTAAAAGCCTTGACCCAGAAATGGTATACACCTCCTTTGCTGACATTCCATTGGCTAAAACTTAGAGTATATGGAAAAATAAGGAATTATTGACATTACTATCTATTAGATCATTTCTAGGCATGGCAATGTGGTGTGCTATAAATCTTAAGGAAAAACTATTTTTATTGCAATTATACTCAATAGTGAATAAAAATAGTAAACAAGAATCTTCAAAATGGCACCCCACACCCCCTTTTAGGGTAAAGTTTTACAAGGTAGAGTGTCTACCCTGTGTCCTTGACAACACTAAGCACAGCACCAAGCACATAGGCACCATTCCACGAATATTTATTGAGGAGTGCATAATTATTTTTTTCTTTTTCTTCTTATTTTATTTTATTTTTTTTATTACGTTTACTGGGGTTTCATTGGTTAATACAATTATATAATTTTCAAGTGTGCATTATAATTTGACATCTCTATATTCTATTGTGTTTACCACTCAAAGTCCAGTTTCCTTCAGTTACCATATATTTGATCCCCTTTCCCCACTTCACTCTCTCCCTACCTCCTTATATTTGCCCCCCTTTAACCGTCTACCTACCCCCTCCTCCTCCACCCGCTACCCTCTGGTAACCACTAGTCCATTGTCCATGTGCATGAGTCTCCGTTTGTTTGTCCTGCTCATTTGTTGCTTTTAGGCTTATATCCCACATTTAAGTGATATGAGGAGTGCATAATTATTTATTATTTATTATTGCATTGAAGTAAATATTCAGTGCACATCACCTTGGCATAATGGGATGGACTGTGAGGAAGCAAAAGAGATGCTATAGTGGAAAGATGCTGACAAAAAAGTTTTTTGCTAAAAAGAATGCTCCCCAGGGAATGCCAAAGCAGGACACCCCACTGCAATCACTCTTGGAGGATGGCCACCCTCCAGAAGACACAGGGAAACAAAAATGTTTCACGTGTGCATGTACAGTTTTACTAAGTGTTATACTCTAACACATTTATTTAATTCCCTTTTTTTGTTGCCAACTAGAAAACTGTTTAGAAATTATATCTGAAATGTAGGAATATAATGTGGGCACACCTAAGTCCCTGAGACCTAAACATGAGTGTATGAGTGGAAATGAAGAGGCTGAACAGGTCAGGGCAAAAAAAAAAGGTGGGGGGGCGGCAGCTGTCACGCAGGGCCTGTTTGCTTCCGCCCGCTGAACTCGGTGGTTAATGGGTTTCGTGCTGACGACTTCCCACCGAGCTTCCTTCCAGAGCCTCGGCACAGGCTGCATTAACAACGTTTAAGAAAATGATGTTCTCACATCCCGGTACCCTCTCTAAATTTCTCACTTACCCTGATGTGAGAATCTCCTACCATAATGAATATTAAAGAGTATTTATTCTAAAGAGCATGGTGGCTCCTCTGCTGGCTCTCTCTCTAGAGCAGTCGGTGGACCTGCAGAATGAAAAAATAAAAGCTTTACTAGTGTAGGCTCATACTTCATTTTTTATATGGTTCTCCTTGTACTTTGACCATTTTGGAAATTCAATTGAATCATCAGCTTCACAGAGGACATCGGCTATCTGTACAAATAATTTTTAAGTGTTTATAAAGGATAATTTCAAAAGAGGGGTCCTGAAGACACTGAGCGGGGAGATCAGCAGTTCAAGGAGGACGTCAGACCTCTGTGAAGCTCCTGGTACAACACCCTCTCGCCTGCCGGGGGGATCGACAGCGCCTCCCCTGGTGCCCCACTGTCACTCCATCCACAACAATCATGGCTTTATTGGTTAACATGGGCCTCCTGCCTCTAGACGGCAAGATCTCTGAGAAAAAAACTGCCCTATGCATTTTTATAACCCCAGTATAATAACCTACATCTACAAGTGTATCCGTATGTATATATATCTGTATATATAAAATGTGACATTTATTTATTTACTTATATGTTTATTTACATGTCTATATATGTGTATGTATATGTGTATGTGTGTATATATAACTTCTTGATTATCCCTACAAATACTTTTTAAAACATTATTTTACCTTGAAACAACTTTAAAAGGTAGATGCTATTAGTCCCCATCTTACAGAGAAGGAAGCTGAGACATAGAAAGGTTAAGTAAATTACACGAGGTCACATAATTGGTGAGGAGCTGATATTTGAAACCAGGGTTTGACACTGAAGTGTGTTTGTAACCACTGTGATAGAAGACCCACCGCCACCATTTATGTAGCATCTGCTGTGTGCATTTGTGCAACATCCTTCACATTCGTTATTTCATTTACTGTACAAAGGATCACAGTGAAGTGTGGATGTCACTTTAAAAATTTAAAAGGCCAAGGGAGCTTATGTAACTTACTCGAAGTTGCAGAGTTAATAGTCAATAAATCCAACATTCAACTCAGCGTTACCTCCCACACCAAGAATTACTTTTTTCCTGGGAGAACTGGGGAGAGGTGTATGTACATGTTATTAATGAAAAGAAAGGATGGCAGTTATGCTGACCTATTTCTTTTTTTTAGGTTCAGTCATTTTTAGCATCGTTTGATGGAGAGAAGCTGGAACTCTTAAAAAATGACCTAATTTCCATTAAAGACATCTTTGCAGCCAAAGAATTAGAGAATGAAGAGAATCAAGAAGAACAAGGTAAAGGGAAAGAATCAGTTAACGGCAAGGCAAACTGTTGATATAATCCCTACAAAACTGTATTAAATAAGCACAGTCCTTTGAACGAGGTGGGATTATTTAATTCAGTGCTCCTCCTTCCCACTTTCAAACCACGCCGTGCATCTGCTCTCGTTGCAGGAGCTGGTCACGTTGATCTATAATTCGCTCTTTCACTGGGCAGGAACTCCTGAGGCATCTTTATGTCTGTGGTGTCCAGCACAATTCCTGGCACACGGCAGGCACGCAATAAATGCATATGGTCAAATGAACAAGGGGCACAAAGTGCCAAACAGAGCCCCGATGACCATAGTTTGTGCTCCGATGTCTAATTTTTTATCTGCATGTGGAAGTTGTTGAATGTGATTGATGTTGATGGTGGGCAGGTCTTTCAATGAATTTCTTTTTATATGTTCTTCTCTCTTTTAATTTATATGCGTAGGAGTTAGGGTGTACTTGTAGGTGGTCTACGCTTCACCCAAAAAGTACAGTTTCGACAAAGACACCAAGTGCACCAGGATGTGATGTGTCAGTTTGCCGATTGCTGAACTGAGTCAGGTGTAGTGTCCCAATAATGTCCTCAAAGTTGGACATGCTTATGATTAGGTTGTCCATTTGAGAGCAGAATACAGTAAAACATTTGCTATGTACGTGGAAAATGACTTCTTACCGATATTATCACCAAGCACTACAACCGTATTTGTTCTGTGTAGGTTATGCTAAAAGGTCAAGCCACCGTGGACACACCAGGGCTGGCTTCTAGGACCATCTGAAACATTTTCACCTGTAAAATGGAGATACTGATACATATTTCGAAGGGCTATTGTGAAGATCAAATTAGATAATATATGTAAGTCATATATTACAGTGCCTGGCACGGGACACAGAACTGCTCAAAAATGTTAGGTGTGATTATTAAAGTGCTAACACAATGCCAAGAAATAGTAAAGGTGCAATAAATTGTAACTTATTTTTATGATCACACTTGTTATTACCTACACACAGAGTAGTGATAATGTTCATCCGTACTGTCAACAGCTTGAAGCGTTTTGCGCCGAGGTGTGTTGCATACCTTTAATCAGAGCTTGAACACAAGAGCTCCAATACATAAGCCTCAGTGCTCAGGACAGAATAATTCTAAGCTTTTGCAAACTGTCATTCAAATATCATCTCCTGCTTTAGCCCACATACCGACCTTTATGTGCCTTCAGTTCAACAAACGTTATGCTCATTGCATCAAAATAGAAGAATCAATCATACTGAAGCCTAGAAAGAGGCCAATATCAAAGAGACTGTTGGAGAATGTTTTTAAGCATTTGTTTGTTTCTACAAAGTCACAAAGAATGACGGCCTTGTCTTTGTTTTAATAATGAAGAAATGAAGATACTAGCTGTCAAAGGTCATGCCGTTAGTATTCTGGATTCAAGATGAACTAATATAGATGCCTCTTTTCCAGAGTAACAATCACCAAAAAGAACCAGGCTATTTCTCTTCAGTTTCTTAATGCCTGAGGTAGACCTTAATCCTATTAGAGGTTCATTCAGAAAGGATAATAAAAGGATCCAAATTCCCCCAAACAGTAAAAAGATATTGTTGCAGTGGATGCCTGAACCCTATATATACTGTTCTTTTAAATTTATATATACATATACATATAAAGAAAACACTTTATGGCTTCTCTTTGGCATATCCAAATTGCCAGCATCACTACTCTTATGCTTTGAGTCCATCTTTAAGTACAATAAGGGTTAATTTGAACACAAGCACTGGGAGACCAAGACAGTCACACTGATAACCGAGATGGCTACTAAGTGACTAAAGGATGAGTCTAGGGTGGGATGGAGCAAGAAGGCACAAGATTTCATCACACTACTCAGAACCTTGGCATATCCAAATTGCCAGCATCACTACTCTTATGCTTTGAGGCCATCTTTAAGTACAATAAGGGTTAATTTGAACACAAGCACTGTGAGACCAAGACAGTCACACTGATAACCGAGATGGCTACTAAGTGACTAAAGGATGAGTCTAGGGTGGGATGGAGCAGGATGGCACAAGATTTCATCACACTACTCAGAACCCTGTCATCTCCCGTAATATATCCATTTTTCCCAAAGGGCATCTCTAGATTATCAAACCACTATTAATTTTAATTAATTTAATAAATAAATGTCATTCAAACACTTAAAGAAGAACTGGGAGAAAAGCAGAGAGGGGTTGTCATTAAATCAATTCAATTATGATGGAGTGCGACAAGTCCAGAAAGGTGGAAGGATTATCGAAAAGCTATAGAGAAGAATTTTAACAGTGGGGTTAAGCAGACAATCCAAGAGCAAAACTCTGGGAGAAACCTGAACATTTACATCAAAAAAAATTTTTTTTATAAGCACTTAATAGGCTCTTTTCTCTTTTTATTGCTTAGGTAAAGATCTTAGCCATATGTACAGATCAAGAGGTGTAGTAATAGGTATTCTTTGTTGCAATATTTTTAATCATCTGTTTTTATCTACTTCCATTTTCCTCTGTGATTTCTTTTTCCTAAAATATTTGCCAGAAGCTATTGGTGTATTTTCCTGTTTTATAGAATGAATGCACATTTAAAAGCTGGGGCTGCACAAAATACTTCTATCCTAATTTAGTATTGATTACTCCCAAATATTTTTAACCTCTCTATGTTATATTCTTGTAGCCCATAACAATATAGTTACATAAAACTTTAGTGTTACAAAATACATTCACATTTGTTGTATTATTTGTTCCTTGCAACATTGCTAAAGACGAGATGGGTGGGTTTTATTGTCCTAAATTTACAGAATAGGGTTTGGAAGCTGAGAAGTCCTGTGACTGGCCTCAGGTCACTCAGCCACTAAATGTAAGAGCTGGAGTAGAACCCACACCTTCCAAGTCTCAGTCCAGGCCTCTTTCTGCCCCATTACACTGCCTCCTGCAGAACGAGAAGGACTAGGCGGTTTGGGTATGAGACCTTGTTGACACTGCCCTGATGTGCCCCTGCCCTTCTTACTATGACTACCTAAAAACTTTGGCTCAGCAGAGAGACAAAGAATTACAGCCTTTGGTAAAATCAATCTCCCTTCCCCACCTCCACCCCACCCCCAAGCTCTCACTTTGTACATGTGACTAATGCCTTCTCACTCTTGAAGGCTCTGTTCAAAAGTCCCCTCCTCCAGGAAGCCTTCTGAACACCCCTCTGAGGACTGGATTAGGTGCTGCAAAAGCCTCCTCAGTCAGAGCACTTACCTCTTTGGCCTATAATGACTTGCTTCTGTACCTTCATCATTAACAATGAGAGCCATCTTTCTCTCTACTATCCCCACGCCCTGCTGCGGCCACCTTGGCTTCCTTGCTGTCCCTAAAAAGCTGGGCACACTTCCTCCTGGACTCTGCCCTGGGGACACCTCAGCCTGGCAGGCTCTTCCTTCTCATCTGGTGTGTCTCACACCTGTCTTCCCCCAGGTCATTACTCAGACAGCACCTTCTCAGCTGCCCTCCCATTTAATTCCTAACCTCCAGCTGCCTCTGTTCCTCTTCCTTGGTATATACACCTCCATAAAAAAAAAATCTTATCACCTGGCACAGGTGTTTTACTTATCTATTTTGTTTATTAATCTGTCTCCCCCATGAGACTATATGAATTAGAGTTAATGATAAGCTGATTAAGCCAAATGTTTTGAACAAAGACCTACAAGTTACCCTGGCTGTCTTCAGGCGCTGTTCATTAACTGTTTTGTCTATAAAACAGAAAAAAACAAGTGTTAGATACAGTGTTTCTCACAAGGCTTAGTCTTCTCTGAAGCTACTGCCTTCACCCACTGACATTAGCCAGAGTATTTCCTTCTCAGAAGGTGTGGAGATCATGTATTCAGAACACATTAATGGTGCTTTTATTCTCCACAAACTGGTGGAAAATCCATTGTGGAATCAGTTCTTTAGCACCTATCACACACTTTTAAGATGGCCTAAAAAATGGCCTCAGCTTGTAGATATAAATGAGAAAAATAAGATTGTCACTTTTAAAGATCTCTCTTCTTTATTGCCCACCAATGATATTAATTTATTTTTAATATACATTATATGTAACATGTTATATAATATATAATCAATATATTATATATGATATAATTTATTAATAAATTACTTATTTAATAAATATTCATTTTAGCACCTATTATGTTCCAGGCACCGTGTTAAATGCTCTGGATTCAGGAATAAGCAAAGCAAATACTTTCTCTGTCCTTAAGTAGCTTCCAGTCTGGAAGTAAACTTTACTTACTTTCTTTGCTGCAAAACCTGCACGTAGCTCTTTAGCTTAGACGCACACAGGCAGATGGACCGCTTTCTGTCCTGATAACAGTAACGTGACAAGTAAGTGGCAGAGCTGGGTTCAAACGGTAAGGGAAGACATATCATTAAGAAATACTGTAGGACCAGACAGGTATCCTAGGAAACCTTGGGAAGTTTCTCCAGAGATAAAATGTTGTTACATCAGAGAGTAGACGATCCATCGACTAATCCTGCTTGCTCAGCATTGTGGCTCTGTGGACATAAAAGGGTGCCCTGGGTATCATTCAGATTGCAATGTTAAGCATAATACTCTAAGTCATAAATACAGTGTTGTCCCAGGTCGCACAGCTCTGAGAAAGGTCACTCATTTGTTCATTCAGTCATTCTCTCAACAAACAGCTACTGACCACCTACGCGATAAGTCCCTCCCTGCCCTTGCTCTGCCTTCAGGCCAGCCTGGAGACGCCCCAGCTAGCACTGCAAGCAGCAAGGCTCCTGCAGCCCCCATCCAGCAGCAGCCTGCTGCCTCATTGCTGTGCTTACAAATGGGGGAAACTCATCTTTGCCCAGCAGCTGGAGGGCAGGCTATAAGGTTGGGGCAGCTGCCACATTCTGAAAGATAAAAAATAAATCATGCTTCTGAATTCTGTCATCTTTTATTTCTAGGCTCAGAAGAAAAGGGAGAAGAATTTGCTAGCATGCTTACAGAGCTTCTCTTTGAATTACATGTTGCAGCCACACCTGACAAACTCAATAAGGTCAGCACCATCTGAGTCAGAGTTTTTGTTTTTTAAAAGAAAAGTCTCAGTTATAAAATTCCAGACATCTACCTGAAATGGAAAAACCCCAAACCCCAAATGGCACATGAATGGAGGGAAGTCTGAGGTCAGTAATTAAGATTTGAGGAGGCAACATAATGAAATGTGATGGTTGAGAACATGCTAGACTGTGTCAGGAGACCTGCATTTTAGTTGCAACTTCACTAGCTAATTACATTGTGACCTTGAACAAGTCACTTCTCCTCTAAATAGATTTTTTATATCGGAGCAGTGGTTATCTTCAGCATAGGGGAGGTAGGAGGGGTACAGAATCACCAAGGGGCTTTTTTCAAGTTCCATCTTCCTTCCCCCACTAAAGTGACACCCCAGAATCAGAGAGAAGAAGCACATCAGCCAGGTCAACCCCATCTCCCCTCCCTCCTGCAATGCTAGTGCTACCTTGTATCTAAGAATGTCCCAGCTCTAATGGTCTGGGTTCCTCTAACAGTGCCACAGTATGTTTTGCAAGTTAGTACAAGGTCATGCTGTGAAGTTTCTTAATGAGGACACTGATCATTAATTACTTAAAACTGTGTCATTTGTCCTATCTCTCTCTCTGTTTTCCCAGTCTTCTCTTTAGTGAGCAGTAGTTGACACTGGCCCTCATTTATCAAAGTGGGCAAGAAAAAGGCAGAATGAGGAGGCAGTGAGGAGGAGAGATGAGTAATTTCTTTATCTCTGATAGAGGTCATTGATTCTGGCAGGTCAGTGACTTGAACACAGTGGGAAATTGCCTCATTCATCTCTGTGCAGCACCTGCCACTGCTCAGGGAGTGTGTGTGGTGTCCCCAAGGCCTCACTGGTTTGTTTACATAGTCAGGTAAACCTTTGTCTCTAAAAGAGGGCACACCAAGGATAGTGTTGTTGTCTCCCCAGATCTTCTTGCTGTTAACTTGCCATTCAATACTCTCATGTATTTAACTTCGACGTGTAAGCTTTAAGATGAGAAGTTAAGTTTAGCATAAGCTCAGATACAACTTTCACTTAAGCAAACAGCTTAAACTATAATGACAAAAGCTAGATGCGTCTCCCTTTCTAAATTCAGGGAATAACGGATAGGGAAGGTGATTTCTGCTTGTTCAATTCAGCCATAAGTTTTTAGGCCACGGGTGGCTCAAACTGCACTCCTGTGCAATTAAATTAGTTGCAGAGTGACACCATGTCGTTCCAACAGCTTTCTTTCCTAGCCTTTGAGGTCGGAAGAAGTGGCATGGCTGGAGAAGAGCAGAGCCATCTTTCATCCTCCCAGTGTGATGTCTTATTAGGTTCATGAAACATGAAGGGCTTCATGAGACATATCAGATGAGGAAATTTGCTTTGGCAATGACCCTGGCTAAATCTCTAACCTATACATATATAAAGTCCTGTTATTCTTTTATAGTCGGTCATGAAAAGTGAAAAAAGTATACCATCACTCTTTCAAGATGACTGCCATTTTCATCCTTGTCTGAGTATCCTTTTAGAGAGCTTCTTAAAAAGTCCTCCAGCCCTGTCATCTTCTGTCCATACTGTCCATTGTGTTCCCTTTTCTTACTTTATATTCACCCAAAAGCAACAACAAGATGTCTTTAAGGAGGTTAAGGAATTGCCTATCACTCTTTGTACGGAGACCCACCCTGGAAGGTTTAGGGCAACTCCATCCTACTCTTAGGATTGGAATTTCTTAGTTTCCATATTGGCACAATAAACATATCGCTTTGCGTGGGGGCCTTTGCAGGCCATGAAAAAAGCTCATGACTGGGTGGAGCAAGATCAAACCATGGTGCCAGTGGATGTGATGGAAGAGTCAGAGGAGAAAACTACGAAGGAAGAACAGGAAGAGAAACCCGAAAACCCCAAAGAAGACAAAAAAGAAGACGGGAGAACTAAGACAGTTGAGGTAAATTTATTTTAGATTGTCCACCCAAAGAGCAGTATTATTATGTTCATTTTATTAGCAGCCTGATTTTAAGTGAGAGAAGCCATTTCATTTTCATTTGTATCCTGTTCCATATCGTAAAAATATGAGTATTAATATAATAAACACTAAAATTTCTCTGTGCTAAGCCAATCCATGACTTGGCACAGGTATTTTAAGTTTTCTCCATAGCCCTACAATTATAATTTCAAGGAAAAGAGATCTTTAAGAACATAGTTGATTTATCTTGAGGGTGAAATTCCGTCTTATATGCAAATTTGTAACCATGAAATGTCTTTGTGCTCCATAACTAATGAGGTAATTGAAGCTTTTTCCAAAAAAAATTGTATTGCCATAGTCTTTATTCTGTAGTTTAATAAATACACGAGTGTAATTTATATCCTCCCTAGGTTCAAAAATGAATTTGTGATAACGTCATCTTACATTGAATTTTATTTTTAGAGGAAGTAATTTTCAAAATTAGATCACTCTAAGAAAAGTGTTCACTGAGGACTGTTCATCCAGCCGCCCTTCCGCACGCATCTTGAGCACCTGCCTGTTGTGCGCCCAGCACTGCACTGGGAGCTGGGGCAGAGCCGAGAATGAGGCTGGCTGTGTCCCCAGGGACCTGGCGGCACTTCCGTCTTATGGCAGCATTTCCACTTAGAAAAGTCTTAGATGTGCTCATTAATCTTTGGGTAAACTTTTCCAGGTTATATTTGGGTTCTTTTTCAAGAATTTCATATATATCTATATACACACACACACACGCACACACCCATGTATACATACATATATATATTTATATCACATGTTTTTTTTAAAAAGCATTTGCTCAGTGAATAATTTTATTACTTGCATTCACTTATTTCAGGAAGTATACATGCTGTCCATTGAAAGTCTGGCAGAAGTAACAGCACGCTGTATCGAACAGCTTCATAAAGTAGCAGAATTAATTCTTCATGGACAAGAAGAGGAAAAACCAGCTCAAGATCAAGCAAAAGTTCTGATAAAGTAAATGTTATTTTTAATTTAAAATTCAATTTTTTATACACGTGCCATTCAAATACACACACACACACACACACACACATCTCTATACACTCATTCACCTCTCTGGCTAACTGCTCTTTGCTTATTACTGCATTTGGCATTATGGGTTGGGGAGCAAATTTTTAGCGGAAGAACCTTCCAAAAATTCAATATCAGTGTCTTTGTATTACTGGTGGCAATTTTCCCCACTTGTAAAGATTTGTCATCTAGTCTAGATTGTCATATCTAAATATGTGAAAATCAAAGATATAAGAACTGTACATTCCTGCCCTTAATATGTCTAGAAAAAATAGACACTTACCTTCAGTGTATAGAAGGAAGAAGAAAAGGCAAAATAGGAAAAGTTTAGAATATTCAGGAAAACATCTAAGTGCTATTTTATGTTTACTGTACCGATTTGAAAGAGGAGGGCTAACGTTCAGAAGTCCCTGAGTATAGGTAGCTCTTTTCTGATTTCCAGCCCTGACTGTCCCGTCTTTACCAAGCTTCACAGCAAAGGGTAATAAGGCCTCACATCTGTCTGTATAAGAGGTGCCTCTCCACCCACTTGCCCCCAAATATACACAGAATGGCTCTGGGCTATCTCCTAGCATGACTCCTGACCCTTCCTGCAGATACATTTTGGGTGAAGGGATGGATGGATGGATAGATGAATGGATAGATGAATATCGTTCAATAAACTTGAATTCATAACTTAGATAAGGACCCCTATTTCTCAAAACAAAATTTACCTCTGCTGACTTTACTAGATTTTTTAACATGTAAGACTCTTACTTAGAATTATTGTTTTTCTAATGGTGTTTTAATCACTATTCATAAAAGTCATATATATTAATTATTTTTAAAAATCTGACAACACCCACATTGTTAGATGATTAGATTGTTTTCAGTTTTGTCATCATCTGTAATGTTATGACAAACATTGCTTTGGTGAAATACTTGTGATCTTGCATTATTTTCTCGGATAAAGTCCTAGAAGTAGATGGCTGGAAGAAACGGAGTTTTGATATGTCTTAAAAACATATTCTATAGGATCTTTATTTTGAGGCATCCAATAAAAACATAATCAAAATTTCAAGACACCTGAGTTTGAATTCCAGTTCTGTCACTTATTACTGCAAGTCCTAAGCAAATTACTTAATCTTCTTTTTATAAATAATTTTTTTTATTTTTCAGCTACTGTTGGCATATAACATTATATTAGTTTCAGGTATACAGCATGGTGATTAGATATTTATATAACTTACAAAGTGATCACCCTGATAAATCTAGTACCCATCTGACACAATACATAGTTCTTAGAATATTATTGACTATATTTTTTATGCTATACTTTACATCCCCGTGACTCTTTTGTAGCTACCAATTTGCATTTCTTAATCCCATCCCTTTTCTCACCCATTCACCTTACTTAACCTTCTTAAATGTCAGTTTCTTCATCTATAAAATGGGAATAGTAATATACCCTATGAGGTCACTATGGGTATTAAATGTGAGTATGTATACATAAGTATTTAACATAGTACCTCCATGCATGTTCATTATTATATAAAAGTGACCAAAAGTCTGGAGAAAATCCACTTGGCAAAAGTCTTATACCTTACTACATGTGGAGCTCAAGACTGCTATTTTCCTACATGTGGTTTTGATTCCAAAAAGGTAAGCTGAGTTACCTTTACATGTTCTTTAATGAAGCATGTAAAGAAAACCAGTATTAGATTAAACTGCATTTGTGAATCATGAAAGATTATTGAGAAAAACATTTCTACAGAGCATCTTCAAGCTTGTGTGCCATTCTTTTAAGTGGAATACTATATTTATTATCTTTATGGTTAACTTATTTTACTTTATTAAAAATCCCAAAACTAATTTTTTTTTTTTTAATTTCAGATTAACTACTGCAATGTGCAATGAAGTGGCCTCCTTATCGAAGAAGTTTATGAATTCCTTAACCATGGTTGGGGTAAGATTACAGTACTAATTCTTTTTTCACCTTTTTAGGGGAGATAGGTCTCTGAGGGGTCCTGAGGAAAAGTGGAGAATGCAGTGCCTTCTTTGATGGCTCCACAAAACAGAAGCGCTGCCATAACATTTACTAAAACCAGGCCAAGAGCACCTTCTCTAATGACAGGCAGCTTAAAGCTCTCATCTGGCTGGGTATAAGCCCTGACGCTGCCACGTCAGACATCTGAGATGCTGGGTGGGTTTTCAAACCACTCTGAGTGATTTTCTTTCTTTCTTTCCTTTTTTAAGTGTCAAGTGAAAGTTCCTTCCATTACTTAATATCTGGGATGTATAATTCAAGATTCTTTATTAAAATAATTAATTTTGAATATTTGCATTCACTGTTGCAAATATTGCCCTCAGAACCTATTTGATAAGCCACCCAAGATGAAAAGTTTCTCGAACTTTTTTGTGACACTTCAACTTTAACCAAAAGAAAAATATTTGTTTTACCAATTGTCTTAAGTGTCTCCTCAGCAATGAGTCACATTATATGACCACACCTTAGTGGGATGGAAGAAGACAAATGGAAAGAAATCATTTTTAACCTTTCTACTTTTTCTTTTAAAGCCCTGGGTGTAAGGGCAGATGATTCTTTCTATGAGAAACCGCAGGTTTTACTTCCTGTTTTAATTAGAATGTCTTTTGGTTACAAATGTATTAGTTTCCTATGGCTGCTATAACAAGTATCACAAACTAGGCAGCCTAAATGCAGAAGTTTATTGTCTCACAGTTCTGGAGGCTGGAAGTGTGACATGAAGGTGCTGGCAGGGCCAGGCCTGCTCTGAAGCCTCTAGCGGAGCATGGTTCCTGGCTTCTCTCAGCTTCTGGTAGCCACAGGCATCCTTTGGCTTGTGGCAGTGTAACTCTCACCTTTTTCTTCCTCTTCACATTGTCCTCCTAAGTGCATGTCTATGTCTAAATTTCCCTCTTCTTATAAGGACAGTAGTCATATTGGATTAGGGTGTGACCAGTATGACCTCATCTTAACTAATTACACTTGCAATGACCCTATCTTCACATAAGGTCACATTCTGATGTATACTAGAGGTTAGGACTTCAACCCGTCTTTTTAGAGACACAATTCAAGCCATAGCAGGAAGTAACAGAAATAAGCTCTAAATAATGCAGACAGAAAAAGGACTTTATTAAAAGCAGTGGAGGAATGTGAATAGCTGTGGGGACCCAACACCAGGGCTCATGTATCCTGTCGCTAAACTGTCACCATTAATGGGACACAACTAGAGCAGTTCCCGTTTCTCTCCATTCAGATTCTGGGTTCCTGGGTGAGAGGATTTGAAAGGCTCATCAGCAGGGGTCATCCCATGCATACCATACCTCTAGGTATCACCAGTAGTGACTGGGGACAGAGTTCTATCATGTAGACCTCCCTGGCTGCTAGGGTGCACCCCACCCCCACCCCAACCCCAGGCAAAAGGCAGTTCTCGAAAAAAGTGGAAATGATTGTGGAACTGTCAGGTGTGTGTCTCCCATAGTTCTACAAGTGACTCATGATAAGGGGTGAGCTATATACCATCATTTCTTCTGGTTGTCTAGGAATCCGGTTTATTCCTCCTATTTTATAAAACATTAGCTTTTATATTTGTCTAATTTTAGGTTTTCAGCAATAGAGCATCACAGTATGCAGGCAGAGTGAAGGGGCAAGTGGAAGCTCATTGATGTGACAGGCTCAGTAAAATGCGTTTATGTCCTCACTGTTGTCTAAGTTAACTGACACCCATGGACTTTGGTGTAACTGCTGGGTTTACAGAGAGGTGTGAGATCTTAATCAGCATGGGATGGCCTCAGCGACTT